AAAGGAGTGCCGATGTAATGATGAAAGGAAGATAGATCATTTCCAAAGGGGAGTGAAGACTTGCAAAGAAGAAAGGAGGCTTCTGAGACACTTGATTGCAAAGTTATAGAAAAAAAACCCTGACCCAATAGTAGATTCACTTTTACAGATTTATAATAGTAATATATATCTTATATACATCTTTAAGTCAAGTGCAAGAGGTTCTATCAAGCTTACGGGTTTTCTATTTTCAGTATCACCTTTACATAATATTTGTAAATACGTACTTTCTTTTATGCCATATTTACTCAAATCCAATCCACAGCAGGGTGGGGGACAAACTTAAGACAACTCTCCAATAATTAGATTCCATACATGGGAAATGATAACAAATTGATATTTTCCATGTATAGAATCTAGAGGTGCACCAGTATACCGGTGGCATACTGGATTGGCACCAATAAAAGGAAAATTATCATTATTGGCCATTGACTTTTTTTGGACGGTGTAGCTGATAAATGCTGAATGCACGTGCACAGCTGCAGCACGCACGCAGCTAGGAATGCAGCTCAGCAGCACGGAGAGCAGCATCTGGCTGGTAAGTCTGTGGGGCAGGGAGAGGGAAAGGGGCATGGGGGCACAGATCAAGACCCTCACGGTGAGGGAGGAAGAGAGTGGGGCAGGGGCTGGCGTTAGGTTTTGGGCATTGCCTGCCCAGCCCAGGCAGGGCGGTGAATACAACCCCGGGGCCAGGAGCTAGATGGAGCCACAGGCAGCTCATCCAGGGGATGCGGGGGCAGGGGATGGGGAGCGCCTCCTCACCACTGTGTGCACCTCCAGGGGAGGCATGGGGGGCATGTACCCCCCTGGACCTGTACACAGGATGAGGGTGAGCTGCCTGCTGTGGGCTCAGGGCCAGGGGCTGCGTCAGCCTTCTCCCAGTGCAGGGGGCTGGATGGGGACGTGGCAGGCTCAGCTACACAGGGCAGGCAGTGGAGCTGGGAGGGGTGGCTATGGGGAATTTTGGGGTGGCTATAACCCCCCCAGGCCTCTCCTTAGCACCGCCCCTGCTCAAGACACTGCGCTCTGCTGCCTTTCCCTCAGGAGCCCTGTGCTGGCTGCACGAGGGAAAGGCAGCATAACAGTACCCTGTAGCCACCCCTCCCAGTGCCACTGCCACCATCTGCCCCACACAGCTGAGAAAAGGCCGGGAAAAAGCCAGCGCAGCCCCTGGACCTGAGCCTGCAGTGGGCAGCCTGCCCTCACCCCACACAAATCCAGGGGGGCGCATACCCTGCTTACCTCCCCTGAGGATATGTGCAACATGGGGAGCTACCCACCTCCCCCATGTCCCCCAGACAAGCCGCCTGTGGCTCCATCCCTCTCCCAACCCCAGGGTTGCATTCACCACCCTGGTTGGGCTGGGCAGCGCCTGCCCCTACCCCGCTCCCTCCT